AAACTGATTTTGTGTATTGAAGTGACCAATGACACCATATTCAAGTCAAACAAATTCTGATCTAAAAATTTGTTCCTTATTCATGAATTAAGAACTGTCTTTGGTAACCTGGATGTTCAAGTTTGAGTTTTACATCTTGAATTTTATGTCTGAATTTAATCACACGGTTCAGGTTAGTTTTTATTATTATTATTACTTCTGCATGATGACAGACATCTAGCCCATCCCTCATGGAATAACAAAGTTATAAGCGGGGCCTACTTCAAAACTTATATAGGTAATAACATATACAAAAACACATTATAAAGTACTTGTATATCCTTTCAAATGGGTGAACAGCCAACTTCATTATTGTGCATCATCCACATTTTCAAAATCAACATCTGTTTTTATCTCACTGAACAAGTATTGCACAGTTCCCAGTAAAAGGGCAGTAGAAAACAAAATGAATATCACTATACATTTCTATATCAGTCAAACAGCACATTGACAAATTCACTTTTCCAGCAAAGTGTGATGACTTGGGATGAGAATGCAATGGCTTTTCTTCCTTCAGACTGACATATACTTTCCATTAAGAGTAAGTTGTGAAATACCAGATCTTAACAGGGCGCATAGGGATTTTTGCCATTTAGATAAATTATGTATGACATAAGTCTCACTACCATATTCTTATTTTATTATCCTAAATGTACACACTTTTGGTTTAGTGCATAGATCATCAGCCCATTGCTCTTTATTCCAAGCAAACACAGATTCTCTGAACAATAAATGCTGAGCTTTTTGTTACTGAGAAATGTCTCAATAAACTCAGAGTTATGGAACAATGTGCACACATCTCACCAAGAGCCAGTGATGTTTATCCCATATAAATATCTTTCTTGTCAGCCTTTCTTCCATATCAACACAAACACATCTTCCAGTAAACCTCAGATATATAAGCAAATTGAGTTTTAGACTTGACTTGAATGTTTAGACCACAGTTGCCCAATTTTAATGTGAGCAACTTGAATATACTAACAGCAGATGAATTCTGCTTACAATAACATTAACCTTATTATAAGATTTAAATTACAGTATAAAAACTGTTTATTTTCATACTGAGGTGGCCAATTTGATGTAAACCACAATAGCAGTTCTCCAAAATCTTAAAACTCTCTGATCTTAGCTTCCCATTTTATGTCTAAGGCTCACGCCATTTGCCAAACAAGCCTTCATCAGAGCCTCATCAGGGCTGATTTTGTTGTTGCATGTGATCCTAGAACCTCATGTAGTGTTACTGCAGCCAAACCATGTTGAGCTTTCATATTAAACTTCTGACTCTTGTTCTCCTTGAGCTCCCGCAGACCTACTAGGCAGCTCAAGTGTGAGATGTGGAGCTGTGTGAGTGTAAAGCAGGGTGGGTCTATAAAAAGCATGGTGGTCTGTCAGCTTGACCTTGTGAAAGGTTTAAAATATACCTCCAAGTTTCCATCATATTTCACTTATATCAGAGTTGGAAATTCCCACATTGACACAGACTGCAACAAAGAGAAGTTACATTTCCCCAGGAGCTGGATCATTTGCAATTAGAAAATCAAAGTAATCACACTTATGTTTCATCATAACTTGACAGCACAAACCGAAAACAGTGTTTCATGTATGGTGTGCACATAAATGGCACTATTTGAGAATCATCCAGTACTGAACGGCATCCAACTCCCTCTTTGCCTCAAGGGACCACAGACATGATTGTTGCTGAATGTCTGTGGCTTCCCAGCGAGGAGCATTGCAGTTTCGGTGTGTGTGTGTGTGTGTGTGTGTGTGTGTGTGTGTGTGTAGATGTTAAACATTCCTCCTGCTCCCTTTGCTCTCTGCAACTACTGGCAAAAGCCCACATTCTCATCTAATGAAATTCAAGATTTGTTTTGTCTGATGGAAGATCTCAAAACACTTGAGCGTCTGTCACACATAAGGGACATAAGAAAGCCAGTTTTACAGGCAGTAGATGTTGGGACCTGCATGCTGGGACAAAAAGGTTTGCACAACAACTGGTTTCTGAGACATGCAAGGTGTGAGGCGTCAGGGAGCGATCATTGGGGATGACTTTCTCCAGGTGTGAATTATTGATGAAAACATTTTTTCCTCTGCAGCCTCCTGCTCTGTGCCTTGTTTGATTGAACAAGACATTTACAAGGAGTCAACAGAAAACACACCTGGAAGGTTGTGGCATTGCTTTCTGACATATAGCACATGTGGTATGTGCTTATAGAACTGCTGCACTTTTGCTTTTTCACCACAAGAGGTCAGACTGCTCCTAACCAGCTCTCTACTCTGTCCCCATGAGGAGTGCATCTCAGTGTGGGGCTTAGGGACCTAAAAGAGTCTAAGTAAAGGTTTTAGAGATCCTAAAGAATATTCAAGATTGATTACACAATTTCTTAAAGTTTTCTATGAGTTTTTTTTAGGGTTTTTAGTGTCCTCAGAGTGTTTTACAGGCATCATTGATTATCTTTCAGCAGTCCCAGAGGCCATTCCAGTGATCCTAAAAGAGGCTCTAGGGTAACATGAGGATTTACCAGGGTCAAGACGTCTGAAAGCTCTTGAAGTGGTTTCTGTTTTTTGTCTGTTTTCTCAGGTTCCCTTCAGGGGACTCAATAGATCTATGGGGACTCCTTTTTCTTGAAGGTGCTCTCTGGTTTCTACAGTGTGTTTAAGGGCCCAGATACACCAAACTGACAACAAAAAACTAGTGGCATCGAAGGCCAACTGTTGTGTTATCTATGTTGCCTGTGTCTCAGACAAAAAGTTGCACTTTAAAACATCAAGAAGACAACAGTCAGCGGCCAACTCACATGTATTATATGTGCCTGCAAGAGAGGAAATACCTCTCCATAGCAAAAAAAGGGAAAACAGAAGACCACTGTTTATGTTGCAGTTATCACATCAACAATAAAACCCAGTGTCGAAAGAACAAATAATATTTGATGGGTAACGATAACACAAACATTTCTGCTAAAGAGCCAAAAAAAAAATCATAAATTAAATAACAATTTTGTTTTAATGTCACATCCTCTTGACTTTTGTTGTTTCTTTGTTTTCCTGACAGAGATTTCATTCACTGACCGACTCCACCTGCTCCAACACCAATTCAACATGCTCAATGGACAAAAAAACAGGCGACAAGGGCCAACAAAGGCTGACCAGTGCCAACGGTGTGGGGCACAATGCAAAAACTAGGGCAGCAGATGCTCACTGATGGCCTTACACTGACCAACGGCCAACCATTGGCTTGGTGTGTCAGGGCCCTAAGGTTTCCTTAAGAAGGTTTCAGGAATTCATGAGTTGAAGTACTTCTTTTAAGGTTTTTCAGGGAGTTACACAAATTCCTTATGATATTTAGTGTTCATTATGGCCTTTTCAGGAGTTCTTGAACAATTGCCTCAAATTTCAAAGTGTTATCAGCCTGACATCAAGGGACTCCTGAAAAGAACCCCTAAAAAACTACCTCCGATAACCCATAGACCCCTGGAACCTCCTGGAAGCTGCATGGAATACCATTTAGTTCCCTGGAAAGGCATTTCAGGGCTCTGTGCCAATGTTCCAGGCTAATAAAATTTTAATCGTAGGCGTATCAGTGAACAAGAATCTCCCAATGCAGGTTTCCTTCTGACAAAACTTACAATATGGATGGTCTGTGTTGTTGGTCTTCTGTTCTTTGTGTGAAAATGGTTGTGAGTATACTTTTTTGTTCTTCCATTTTCAAACCTCTTGTATTGACTCCCCCTCCTCTGGAGGACATTTGCTTGTGGATATAAAGCGTAGAAATACAGACTGAGTACACTTATCTATCCCAAGGCCAAGGAAAAGGAAAACAAGCTCTTTCAAAGGGAAAAAAAACCCATAATCAACACATCACATAAAATGAGCTAATTGAGCCGAGGGTTGTTTTTGGATGCTGATGTCAGCGTCCGGTGTTTTGCTGACTTTATCAGCATCATCCTCCCCTGCCCATCACATAATGTTTCTTTGCCTCCATTTTCTGCCAAATTAGTTGATAAAAAAGCTTCTAAAAACATGGAGTGGCTTGGTTGCCGTGGCAACAGGATTTTCCCACCGATGGAGCTGAGAGCACTGTTGCCGCGGGTGATATCAGCAGAGCCCTGGTTACATTATCCCGGCTTTTGCACCAGGAGGATTCTGACAAACAGGGACAAGAAACGCAGTGGAAGGAATAGTGCGTCTGATTGTTTTATGTGTGTGTGTGTGTGTGTGTGTGTGTTTGGGGGGGGGGGGGGGGGGGGGGGGGGGGGGGGGGGGGGGGGGGGGGGGGGGGGGGGGGGTCAGATTTAGCTTGTTTATCTCATCCATTCAGGAAAGCCCATTTTTACATGTCAAAAACGTCCTTTAACATATTTGAGAAATGAAGCACTTAAACTGTGAACTCTTACTGTAACCACAAAACATACGTGTATAGTGCAGAGTATCTTTTTCTACACTCCCAAAAGTTGTCATAGAAGGGTAGGACAGATTTTTAGTCTTTTTTTAACCAAAGTTTTTATTATATATCAATTTTCAGGGAAACTTTTACCTTTTTTCATGTCAGATAGATAGGCAGACAGACAGGCTCTTCAATATGTATTGAATACACACTGTGTAAGATACTGCCCAGGAATACACCATGCATTAATAGCACATTGTTGTGTAGGCTACAGTAAATCAAGGTACTGAATTGTTGCCATAGATTAGAATAGAACTATTTAACATATAGCTCTGTTATCAAGCCCTCCACTAATAGTGAGAGTCTCCTATACAGTAGGATGGAGATGGAGAATAGAGTGGGAGGAGAGAGGAAGAAATAGAGGGGAGGAGATTCAAAACCGTCAGCAAGCAGGCATTCATGCTTTCTCCCCGATTTCCTCTCTCTCTCTCTCTCTCTCTCTCTTTGTCCCCCCTCCCCACACTTTGTCTGTGTCGCTCTCTCACCTCTCTCCTCCTATACTGAGAAGTCAGCCAATGCATCAGCCTGCAGCTCATCTGGCATCCGCTCTCACTCCCCCCCCCCCACTGCCTCAGTTCCTCACTTCACTCTGCTCCTCTGCTGACTGACACTTCTGATACCTCTTTCGTCTTTCATCCCTTCCTCCCCTTCTTCTCATCTTTTCACCCGCACCTCATCCTCCTCATCCTCAAGCCGCCATGGTGAACAGATAACCGCCCGGCCGTCCCGAGACCATGGGTGCCTGCTTCTGCAAAGGTCACAAAGGTCAGTGCCTGAGTCCACCTGTTTGTGTGTCAAAGTCCGTGTGTCTGTTTGAGGCTTCGATCGACCTGCAGGAAGTGTTGACAGCAGCCAGTAAACATTTGAAGAGCAGAACTCTTTCAGAAAGTTACATCAGGCTTTTGAGGGATGGCTCTCTGTGTGAGAGTCTCGGAAAAATCAGTAAAGTAACACGATCCCTGAGGTGTCGACATCCACCTGCATCACATTTTTAGCCTGGCAGAAGTGTTTGTATGATGTGCATCCATCACAGGAAAGACGAAACTGATGCACAGCTCAAATTCTGCCATGAAAGCATATATCCGAAAACTTGTTTTCATCTGCCCTTTCGCAGCTATTCTTGATCTGAGTGAATCCGTGGAGATTGCTTTAGAAGACTTGGGGGGGATGCGGGAGGTTGATGGGAGGGATTCTGAGGATCAGCGGACAACAACAGTGGCTTCAGGATATGACAGCTCCATCCGAAGCTCGTCTCCAACTTGTCGTGACTTGAAGATGTGACTTGAGTTGCAATTTCCTCTCTCATATTTGCCCTCTGTCCCTGCTTTAGGTGGAAATACAGTGGCGTCTGCTGTCAGGATAAAATAACAATGCCTCGGCTGGCAGCAGGGTCTCTGTTAGGGAGAACAGAAGAATTAATCTGTGCTGTCAAAACAAAAGATCTAATAACATAAAAAGTTGATTTAAGGTGTACAAGCTTTCTGTAACACTTGTGAACAACATACTTGTTAATCTGTCAGTACATGACATTCAGCATCACATTCTCACATATTATTTTCAGCCTGAGTCTGTGATGCAGTCTGACAACATTTTCAGAGAAGCATCCCTTGTAACAAGGTGGACGGTGATGAGGGCAGCGCATTCAAGGGAGGGGGAAGGCAGCTGTGACGCTCCAGACAGACAGAGAACAGCAGGAGTGTGTCTGTGTGTTTGTGTGTGTGTGTGTGTGTGTATGAGTCAGGGTGGGATTTAACCCCACAAGGACAGCCGATTGGTTCAGGGATCGTGATGTGTTTCCTGGCCTGATAATAGGATTTGAAGAGGCCAGAGACCAGATACTGCCCTGTGCGCCAGTGTGTGTATCTATCTCTATGTGTATCTATCTGTGTGTGTGCACACTGGTCATTATGACTTAAGTTAATGGAAGGGTATCACTCGCCTCCTGTTGCCGGCGTGTTTCCATAGCGACAGCCAACTGTCTTGACGACCCCTCCCAGGGGAAACCCCAGGGTTGTGTTTTTTTCCCTGCATGAAAATGTGTGTGTGTGTGTCCACCGACCTCTCTGATGATGTCTCCATCACTCTGAACTGCATTTAATTTCTTCTTGTCATTCATATGTACTTCATCGCCATTAATTAAAAAACAAATATTCAGAGAGGATCCAGTTAAATGACTCTGTTGTTCCCTCTGTCTCTCATCCATTATACATGAGCCTCACTTGACCCCTGGCTGTTAGAGATAATAGGGATTTGCCTTTAAAGATCCCTTCCTTGTACCACACACATCGACATACACTCACAGCACATGAATCTAACACCAGTGTTTGTGGTTCCCCACAGAGTTCCACCATCCCATGACAGCATCGCAGGACCAGACTGTGGAGGGTCAGACATCCTCTGCCAAGGTGCATTTCATTTTGTGCATAAAAAACCTGAGAGGAAACTTTGATTAAAAAACAAACAAAAAAAACCTGCAAAAAATAATGCGAAAATATAGTTTTTACGCTTGGGGAAAAAAATTGGTGTATCACTAGAGGGTAAATGTAATTATAAGTGCAATGGAAACAGATTGAGCGAATACATGATGACTTAATGTCATTGCACAGGCCACTGCAAGCTCTCTTCATCTTCTCTGGATGGCTTTTAACATGCTTACATGCACGCATGTCTGCTACCAGAACTCTTTCAGGAGCACACAGCCGGAACATTAGTTGTTCAAAACTCTCTATTTCCATTGTCCATTGCGCTCTCCATTATTGCATATGCATTGTTTTCCTTTGTTTGAGATATGACTGATGCTCGTTTAATTACGTCAGTCTCTTTAAGCCCTCTTCCTCTGACTGAAGAATGGCACCACCTTCTGCATATCTCAATATGCAAACCCCCCAGTTTTCACAAAACAGTAGTGGATGGTAAAGTGCATATATTTGCATAGACCTGAATATTTTTTGCAGATTTTCTTAAATTCTGTTCTAATAGCCTTTAAGTGTGTCTGTGACTGAAAGCAACAAGTATTGCCTTTCTGTCAGTTCACCAGAAGTAAAATAGTTTTCACTACAACTTCTAGAATAAACTGTCTTTCTAAAAATAGTAGTTGATGCTGTGTTCTGCGAATCATTCAGAGTTGGAAAGGCTATTTCTTCTTCAGCTGTCAGCTTAATATCTCTCTCACACATAACACGGTCAGTCTGCTCCTCCGGCTCCATCGCACTCTCCATGCAGGCGTCTGGAGTGAAATTACTGCATGTTTAATCAGCTAGACAGTTTCTCTGTTTGTGTATTTCAAATATTAACATCTGCTATTTAAATGAACATTAACAGCGTTTTCCTAATTCTCAAAAATTAAAAAAGATTTAGTCTTGCTACTTTAGGCCTAATTTATGTATCTTTACTATTTGACTTTTTACTGTGCTTTGCCAGACTGTAGCTAATATCACGAGGCTCGAGTAGCCTTCACATTTCTAGTATCAGTATAGCATCAGAGGGTGGACAGATTTATACAACGCTTGTATCAAATTCTTTATAGTAAGATTAGTAAAGATAAACTAACTTGTAAGAAACAATTTCAGAGTTATTCCTTTGTATTGAACAGGTTGATATCTAGCTAGCTGTAGCTTGTTTTGCTAGCTAGCTAGCTAGCTAGCTGTTAGCAAAGAAAGTTAGGATGTTTTTGCCACTGAAAATGAGAAATTTTAGTTCAGAGTTTTATTGAAGTAGAATATATTTGGATGGTTTGTGTGCTGGGTGAATTACATTTACACCCAGGCTTTTTATAAACTTTTGATTTGCCTAAACAAACCAGACTACCCTAAAGGACAAGCTACTGATTAAATTAATGTCAAATTGGCAAATCCATGTCTTACAGTGATGATTTGATGATACATTTACAGATGCAATCCTATTAAATTAGAGTTTTATAACATTTATTGAAGAATGACTGATATTGTTTGGTAAAAAGAGTAATTTCACAGATGAAAGGACCAGAGAAATTGAAAGATGTCTTGAGGTTTGCAGTGACCACACATCTGGCATCTAAGCAGTTGATGTGAAAAACAGAAACAAACTTAATTTTCCCAAGAGAATGCTTAGTTTTCCCACTTTGCTCATTTTACATTCAAGTGACTTTTATGCAGAATTTTATCATCTGTAAAACTTAATTTAGACTGGTTTCCAGCAGTTTGAAGCGGAGCCATGCACTAATGTGTAAGCATGTACGAACTTATAATCCCATTTTGCTTGCAACATGTTTTAAAAACCTTGAAGGTTTTACTCTCAGATCAAAAACTGAGAGAAATGTAGCCTATTTGAAGTACAGTTTCTCTCTCCATATTGATTGCAGCTACTTCAGTGTAAATACCATAGGGTTTGAGTTTGAAAATACCTTCCCCTAAAATGAGTGTGAACACTGCAGGATTTTCACAAGAGCTGTTTTTGTCATTATCACCATTTTTTCTGTGCGTGGGCGTTAAGTCATCACACATAAGATGTGACTGCCTGAAGAGGATGTATGCAAATGTCCTCATGTGTGTTTGTATGAATAGTTTATGTTTGTGTTCTATTGTGTATGGAAAGCTCATAAGCCCACGCCTGTTGATTTGTATTGTTCAAAGTGTACAAAAGGGTTAGCTGCTTGTTTGTGAGATGAAAAATGCTTCTTTGTCATCTTTGACCCATGGCATAAATGCAGTGGCACAAAGCAAAAATAAACCTTTGTTTGTTATTCTGCATTAGAAATACACAATTCCCACCTTATATTAATGATAAAGATGTGATATCGTCCCTCTGTCTGTTCATCATATTGTGTAGGATGACCAGAATCCATCCAACGGCAGCGTGGCAGATAAAAGCAGCGGCTATGATATTGGCGAGCTGGCCACCTCCTCTTTGATGGGTGAGACACTCAATCACACACACGCAAACATAAACAGCTTTAGTTCAGGTTGTGTTTCATTATGAATCAAACATATGAAACTGGGAAAACGGCAAGCTGGGAAATTGCGTTAGTAACCATGGGAGGTTGGTAATATGATTTCCTTCCTCCTCTGTGCCCTTTCTCTCCCAAACATAGGCTGTAACACAGGGCCATAATCATCCGTCTAACAACCCTCCAGGGGGTCTGGATGGTATTTCCCCCTGGAGAGATTTGTAGAAACTTAACAGCTTTCTAAAGCACTTTGAAACACAAGTCCTAGATGATTTAAGTAATGGTACATGCAAGGTTAAAGATATAATATGCTTGTCTGATATCAGACAGTACTGTCAACTCTTACACTATATTTCCATCTTCAGTTTGACATTGCTCCCATTCTAACTGATTTTCGTTGGGGAGGGAGATTCGACCACATGGCCCATACAAACACAAACAAGTCAACAGAGTTTGAGATGACAGAGAACTGATAAATACCTTTCAGGCTTACATAAAATTATATTGTGAACATTACTGTCCGTGCAGGCAGTTATTTGTCAACTAGGAAACTACAACAGCTTTTTCCCTGTAGGCCGACGTTTGTTTTGTCAGCTGACAGATTACACTGCATTTAAACAGCTTCCTGGGCCTCACCATTACATGTCAAGTGGTGCGATGGTGCAGCATTTATCTCGTCTACTGCGCTCGCCATTGTTGATATTACTCCTCAATGATTCCAGCACATTGTTGACAACAGCTTGACAACAGCATTAGTCCCACCCGTGGTGCTGATTGGCTAATCGGTAGTGCCTCCCGCAGAGCTCATTGGTTGTTTCTTATTTTAACCGAGAAACCGCTGTTTCATTTTGCGTTGCCAGACCAGAATCGGTCATCTTGAACTCAGTGGGGTGGGAGGAGTCAAAGGTCTGGACCCAGGCAAATACTATACAGGATTTTCCGAAAAACCATGTAGCTATAGACTCATGCAGAGATAATCCCTTTCAATCATCACTTATGACCCACTATCAGTATGTGATGATGTATTTTTCTGCCGAGATCCTGCCCTCTGTCTGTATTTTCTCATTTTCTGTTACTGGGACGTTTATAAGTGTGTACTCCCACAGGGTTCAAGTGAGATTGGGGCTTTATAAAAAGGTAGCCAGACTGGAAGCAGCACACATCCAAGAGACACAGCACAAAAAAAGCAAATATAGTGAAGGAAAACGCCAAAGTCAGTGATTCTGGGGTAGGCTTTTACTTTCACTTTTACCAGTGAGTGTGTTCACAAACAGTAACCAACAATCCTGCGTAGTATACCTTTCAGCTGTTATGGTCATAGACTTGTAATGATAAATCTTTACTTCTTTGAGTTGTCACCATTGAGCTTGAGGCCTGAACAAATCCCCAAACTGTTTGGTCTCTTAAATGGAGATGTCGACAAGATGTTGCCAAGTAGGTGTCTATTCTCACAAAGTCACCTGTGCCTGCCCTTTCTCCATCATCCTTCACTCCTCATGTGTCTCTTTTTATTAACTGAGTCCACAAGGGTCAACATGAGATTATTAGGTAAACTATTGCAGGCTATTCATAGTTGTTCATATTTGAACAGACTGGGGCTACATCATTACATGACAGATAGCCGTGGGTGAATGTAGGTTGTCACCCTCTAAAGCTGAAAGTTGATCTTTTCTTTTTTACCTCCATGTCTCCTCTTCTGCTATCTATCACTTCTTTTTTACTTTTGCCTGATCGCAACAAAGTAAACATACTATTAGAGGCAGATTTTAGTTAATATAGGAAACTTCCATAGAAACACAGCTACAGACCCAGCTGCTAATTTTCACTTTTTTTAGCTCACCTTTTTTTGTGGTTTTCCAAAGAAAAGATTAAATGTCCTTGTTCCGTTTCATGGTTATTGTTCAAAATCTTCTCATGTAACAATTCGTATGACATCTTAGAAAAAGTTGTGTGCTCAGTTTGTGTGATATCTTCTGAATTAGCACGAGCCACCCACCCAAACACCACTGCGGACCAAGCAAACCCCCTCATGGCAACAACACTCCTTAATGGCAGTGGTTCCCCCCAGCAGGACAATAATGAAAAACTGCTCAGGAATGGTCCAAGGAACATGACAAAGAGCTTAAGGCCTTGACCTGGCCTCCAAATTCCCCAGATCCAAATCCAATTGAGCATCCTTGGGACATGCTGGTACGTCATCTCGCAAACCACAGGACTCAAAGGATCTGCCGTGAAGACCCTGGTGCCAGACACCACGGGGCATCCCCAGACTTCCTGTGTCCATGCTTCGACATGTCAGAGCTATATCCAATCCGTAGAGGGCCCACTGTGGATGGGCGGTACGTCTGGGGTATTGGCATGTCCCACAGATGCTCAGTCGAATTGGGAACTGGGGAATTCTTAGGCCAGGTCAAGGCTTTAAGCTCTTTGTCCCATTCCTCAGGCCATTCTTGAGCAGTTTTGTGGTGTGGCATGGCGCACTGTTTGCTTGATCTGCAATGGTGTATGGGTGAGTGGAGTGCGTCAAGTAACATCCACATATATGCCAGGACCCAAGGTTTCCCAGCACTGCATTGTAACAAGATAATCAATGTTATTCATTTCACCTGTCACCTGGTTTTAATGTTTTGGCTGATCAGTGTAGTATTTAATGAATTAGCACCCCTACTGGTTAGGTTAGGTTTAGGAAAAGAATCATATAAAATAAGTAAGTAAGTAAATGAGAACAGTGTGTATAGTAATGATGTCAAACACAGATCAAACAGCCAAAGCTTGAATACTGGAGGTTGTGGCTAGACCGGATACCATTTTTGTCAAGACAGGAAAAACAGCTGGATGCTCCTTTGAACACTGATTTTGAACATCATTGTGTTCTGGTTGAATATGTTTGAGGTTTACCACTGTGCTGGAAATTGATGTTGATTGATGCCAAATTTTATGCATGATATAAAGCATAAAAATAGTCTAAATAAATACTTTACTGGGGGGCAGTTTGATACTTACCTCCCAAAGTGTATCGTGAGTATACCTCAGCTGTAACCTCAAAGTACCCAGACAGACATGTGGGAACGCTCAGGTACACACACATTTCTTTCGCCCATTTAATTTTCTCCTTCACCTTTAAGTCTGGATTCCTTCTCTCTTCATGTTGGTGCCTCCTACTCTTTTTCATCCCCCTTTCCCCATCCTGTGTCTGTCTGCTTCATCTCCACTGCTTCCCTCTCTCTGCGAGAGGTTAATTATCTGACTTAATGTGTTATGCGTTGCCGAACTTTTCCCAGTGAAAGCTCCTTTATTACCCCGGCAGTATAATTAAGAAGGCTGTGAAAACCTCATGAATATGTTAGACAAACACAGACATTCAGGCAGACAGCTGAGAGGCTGACACCTGCTTTGGGAGTGACAGAACCAATCCAGGTAAAAAAAAAAAAGCCTTATGACATTTACTCAGACATAATCACTAGTCAGTCATCACTTAAATTGGCAAAGCAAGTTCAGTAGAGTTGGGCAGTCACAAAGTGCAGCAGACAACCTAAGTGTTTAAATCAGATCACACTGCACAAACTCAAATATTATTGTGCAAATATAATCGTATTTAGAAGAACATAATGCAGACATTATTGCTACATTTATTCTTCTTGTATGATGCAGTGTGATAGATAGATCAGGCAGATGTGATTTTATTAACAGCAAACGACTTTAGCCTTGTGACTGGAACCCAGAAACTGAAATGTTCATTGTTCATTTGACTGAACAAACGAGTTACTGAAAGTTTTGTTAGCCTTACAGATTTTATTTGTCTTGGGGGTGCTGTTGCAAGGAAATAGTGATGATCATTAAAATCAAAGGAGTTTATCACTATGACAGTATGAATGTGCTCAGTAGATTTCGTGGAAACCTGGTTACATTAGGATATATATTACATACAAAGTTCGAAGGAAACAGTCAAGTTGATGGAGTTAAGAGTTCATCTTGTGGAGAGGATGACTGTACACATTAGATTTCCTGGCAATTAGATCAGAGGATATTTCCCATGTACAAGTCGATATATTTGTCTGACAGAGGCGCTAAGGAAGAGATAAGAGGGTAACAAAAAATATTAGCATTCATGCACTGGGAACCACGAATATCAATAAAAACTTTAATAGTAATCTGCTAAGCAGCCATAGTGGTATAGCTCAAGGGATGGTGATGCTGGTCTGTTGTCCAGCCCACGACATTGGCCAGACAGAAATATCTCAACAAGTATTAACAGATAGGCCGCCGCTTTGGTGCAGATATTCATGATCCCCAGAGGATGAAGCCTAATGACTTTGGTGAGCCCCTGATTTTTTCCTGTAGTACAATCAGGTGAAATGTCTCAACAACTGTTGGATATTTGCCATGAAGTATGATCCCGACATTCATGTCCCCGTCAGGATGAATTTTAATTTGTCCAGTACTTTGGTTTATGACCAAATGCCTGCAAAACTAATGACATTCACATTGGCCTCAGCTGTACTTTATGATGTTAGCACATTAACACGCTAAAGTAAAATGATGAACAACATACTGGCTAAATCATGCTTCGTATTTTCAATACAATAGCTAAGTCACACATGAACTAGTGTGTTGAACAATTCACTGTTTTGAAGCAGCCGACTGACCACTTTAAACAGTGTACAGCTCGTTTTTTTTTTAAATACTGTGGCAAATTGACAAGAATATCTCATCTTCAAAACCAGGATGTGACATAACGCCTTGTTTGGGGTGGTCACATAATTTTTGGCACGGTGAAGCGAGGCATCAAAACATCTAGCCTAGATTCATCTTTGAAAGGTCGACATTGTGTTTAAAGTCTGCTTCAAGCGTAACATCACCACTGCTAAACATCAGCATATTAGTATTGTCATTGTGAGCATGTTAACATGCTGACATTAACATTCAGCTCAGAGCACTGTTGTGTCCAAGCACGGCCGCACAGAGCT